TCTAAGTATTCCTTTATATGTGGTTCAGAGTTCTGGGACCATCACCTGAGCCTGCTTGATCGGGTATTCTGTGTTGTTGTTGGCGGAGCTCTCTGCTATATGTCCACCTGATCCGCCATCTTGTTTGTTCTCCTGGCCGTTTGGTTTTAAGAGGATACTGTCTCTTTAAATTTCGAGATGTATGCACATGCATAGTAGAACCCTCCGAGGGTGGGGTTGGAGTATCCGCCAGCTCAGGCACCCTTATAGTCACCAGAATGGAGGTACGCAGACAGCAAGGGACCAACGAAAAGATACCAAAAAAAAAAAAAAAAGAATGCCCACACCTCTATCTCTTCGGCTCTGTCAGGTGTCCATGGCTGCTCTGATTCTTTCCCCTCTTGGCCTCACACAAAATGGCAGCTCCTGGAGCGCTGAGCATCCCAAGCCAGGAAGCAATTGATTTCTTGCTTCTGCCACAAACTCCCCAGCTGTAAGTCTTCCAACCTTCTAAATATTCCTTTATATGTGGTTCAGAGTACTGGGACCATTCCCTGAGCCTTCTTGGTCCTGTATTCTGTGTTGTTCTCGGCAGAGCTCATCACTACATTTCCACTCAATCTGCCATCTTTTTTCTCTCCCCATCTCTTTTAACCAGACCCATCTAGACAAGATGAAAACTATTCAGTAGGGACTCTTTTTTCCCCCATACACTCTTAAATTAAACTCCCTCTTGAAACCTTGTAAGCCAGTCACTTTTTGCCTTTATCACCCCCATTTTAGGTAGCCAGTGTGAAAGTTGCTCATCCCTATCTACCCTGTGTACAGAGGGGATAACATTGATACTTGATGTGAAGTCTCCTTAATTCTCTGTTGTTATTAAGAGTTACTAGCTCCATGAGCATAGGTCAAGTTCATCAAATTGTAGCAATTTACACTTATTTACTTTATAAAAAATTTAAAAAAAATTCTGATTTTCAAGCCATTGAGGCTAGGTCAAATGGGCACTATCTGCAAGTTTGGTGTTCTTCTGCATGCATCTCCCCTCACTTCATATCAGCTGGATGCTTCACTCTTAGCTCTAGCCCTCTGTGGCTATGTCTTTGTCCATGGGTCAGGTGTTCCTAGGTCTCACCACACTTTGTATCAACCAGCCCTTCCTCTTCTCTCTCTCATCTCCGGGTCAGTGGGAGTCTATGGACCATGGTTGAACTCAGCCCATTTCTTCATTGCTGCCTTTTCCCCTCTTCCACTCACCAGTAGACCAATGTGGTAGTCAGCAAGCTTGCATACCTGTTCAGGTGTTCCCTTTGAGTTTCAGTCTTAAAGGGGAATTTGTCCTGAAGGGATTTGATTGCTTGTCTTGATGGCTTCCTGGTGAACATCTTGCTTATTCTTGTAGTAGCCAGTCATACTGACGTTTTTGTTTTGGGTTTTTCCTGATGATCTTTCTTTGAAGCTATATCTTCTGTTGCTTTTGCAGTTCCAGGATGGTCTGCTTGTCCCTTCTAGTGTGACTGTCCTGCCTCAGAATGTTCTGGATGGGACTCAGGATTCCACCTAAGGTCCTATACAGGGCAAAGGCTCTGCGAGATGTCTATTTCACTGGGCAAGTTCTAGAACCACTTTTAGGTATTCCAATCAGTTATAGGCTGAAGATGGTCTTACAAGCTTTCTGAAATCATTTTTCCTGATATTCTTTTCTATCCCACTCAAGTGTCTATTTTACAATAGTAGACAAGGGAAACCAATATTCATAAGACAGTCAAGCATCTTAATATTATTTCCCCTCTTCAAATTATGCCTAAACCCCTGTATCACAGAGCCCTGTTGATCCAAGGTTGATCATGCATCACTATTTATCTCTGTCTCATATTCCCTCTGTTTTTAAAAAACGTTTTTTCCTGTGTGCTTGTCTTTCTACTTTTGTGGTTAGAAAGAGTTGTCACCCTGTTGAGTTGAACTGAATTTTACACATAGGACTGAGTAGATTTGCTCTATGGGACTTTCTGGGCTGAAAATCTTTAAAGTGGGTTTGAATTGCTGAGCTAGCATTTGGCAACCCAGTGCTTAACCCAGTGTGCCATCAATACAATCTTAATATCCAGCTTCAGAACTCTGTAAAGAGTCCTTATGCTTTTTTCCAGGTTCCATTTGGTGAGACCTGAGCCTTGCTATCACTAGGGGGCAATCTTACATGTTGTTATTAAGTGCCCTTGAGTCAGTTTCTACTCACAGCCAACCTTCTGGTTCAAACCAACTTTGGAGCCTAGCGCCTTAACCAACAACGCCACACCAGGACTCTCAACCACAGCCCTACCATCACTCGGGTGCAATCTTCCCATGTTGTTGTTATTAATTGCTCTTGAGTCTATTCTGACCCATAGCAACCCTGTGTAGGCTCTCCTAGGAGCAGCTGGTGGGTTTGAACAGCTGACCTTGGAGTTAGCAGTCCAGTGTTTATCCTACAGTGCCACACCAGAACTCAGACCTTCCCAGAGAATCTCAAAATGCAAGAGTAAAATGTCCCTTTGAGTCACACTTGCAGCATCCCAGGCCTGCACCTGGGACAAGGTACCCACTGACTCCACAGCTTCCTTCCTGCAGGTGTGGGATCTGACCCTCAAGTGCACATTGAAGGGCTAGAGGAAGATGGAATTCGTGTGGTATGCAAAGCCTCTGGGTGGTTTCCGAAGCCCCAGGTTCAGTGGAGAGACCCGAGTAGAAAAAAGTTCCAGGCTTTCTCTGAGGCCCATGATCAAGATGCTGAGGGGCTGTTCAGTGTGGAGGCCTCGCTGGTGGTGAGAGACAGCTCTGTAAGGAACGTGACCTGCTCCGTCTTTAACCCCGTCCTCAACCAGGAGAAGGTGAAGGTGATTTTCATCCCAGGTCAGCACTGTTTCTGCTCCCTGCAGGGCTGGAGGGAGGAGACAGAGTCTCTTATTTTGCTGGGCTGGGCTGGCCTGCAGTGTGCCCTGACTGTGTCTCTGGCTGGGCTGCAGAGCCCTTTTTCCCTCAGGCTTTTTCTCCTTGGATGCCAGTTTTTGTGGTGAGCCTGACCATGCTGATGCTCCTCAGCTTAGGGGCTGGCTATTTTCTCAAGAAAGAACATTCAGCAAAGGTGCTGGTGTGGAAGGATTGGAAGACTCTTCAGCAGGCTATGGAGGAGGATGAGAAGGAATCAAAGTTAGCCAACAAGGAGGCAGGTAAGAGAGGGAGGGTCTGTGTTAGACTGGGGAGGGCAGAGCTGGTGTTCTGAGGAAAAGCTGAGGGCAAGAACAGAACTGATAGCAGTGCTTTGCAGAGAGACCCAGGGTCCCTGCAGAGAACAGGATTCTCAGGAGATCTGGAGAGGTGCAATATGGGCATGAGGGCTCAGATGGTTCTGGAAGGAGAAGTTTCTGCAGTTTACAGAGTGAGTCTTTTTGTGTTGGTTTACCAGCACAGTCTTTTCTTTTCTTAGGGATAGAGTTCATGCTTTTTACCCCCATCTCTTCTTTCAGATGAATTCCAGAGAGAGCTGGGTAAGTTCTTCCCTCCCTCCTGAACTCTCAGTGTCCTGTTTGGGAAGACTTTCTAGTTCTTATTTCACCTCATTTCTTTTATATCACCTTTCAGACTGGAGGAAGGTGATTTATTACACTGGTGAGTGACTTTCCTAATGTCCCTAGGTCTCCCATCCCACCTGGGTCCAGGTGTGCCCTCTCCCTGTGCCTATCAGGCATAGCTATAAGGACTGTGCTCCCTGGGGCAGAAGTGGAAGGTGGTGGGAGTGGAATCCTGTCCCTGGAACTCTCCTGTATGAGGGACTCTGTTCCCACTGAATATTGAAACCTGAAATCTGACATGCATCCTGGGTCTTCTCATTCCAGCGCAGACCTATGGACCATATTGTTAGTGTTGAGCCTTCAGAGCAGCTGGCTCTCAGTCTGCACCTGGAAGCTAAAAGGCAGATGCTAAGGGGCTTCATGAAAGGAGCTCTATAAAGAAATGGGGTCATAATGTTTAGGGCTGTGACTTACTGCCTCCCAATGTGAAGTCTCAATGGCACTTAGCAACAAGAATCCTCCTCTCTGTGAGTGTGAGTTCGCCCAACTCCTGAAGATGCTGATGGAAAAGTGATGGTGAGATGACTGGGATGAGTAAGCAGGGACACATGGTAATTCGAGCTGAGAGCTCCCCAGGATAGAGGTACAATTATGTCTGGGAAAATATAGATCTATTTTAGATGGGCTGGTTAATTTTACCTGGAACTGGTCATATGATTTTGTCTATTTTCATTCCTCCTCCTGATAATTTTCCAGATATATATTTCCCAGAAAGTGACTAGATATTACACTGCTCTCATATGATTATGTAACAATTTACATTGGCTACAATAACTTCACATGTACTTTTGATATTAGTGGAATACAGGCAGGATAGGAATTTTTGAGGTTATTGAGGAACAGAATAGGTAAGTGACTTGTCCAAATTCCCACAACCACAGTAACACTACTTGAACTTGAAATGTAATTCTGGCTCCCTGAACTGTGTTCATGGAAATTTCCCACCATCCCTGCCTAGCTCTGTGTTTAACAGTTCATCATATCTTTTCCTGCATCTGTCTCGCTCTGCATAGTCACACCTTTAGAATAGAGGGGTGGGTGTTGGCCAGTGGATTCATGCTGATCATACTGTAGTCTCACTAGGATGTGTTCCCTTTCAGCATGGAGAAAGGCCCAGCTGTATGCAGGTAAGTGACTCTTAACTTTTTTGTGACCTTACTTTCCACATCTCCAGTGGCTTCTGCCTTTTACCTATCCCCTCCTCTATCAGTGATCCCCTTTTCAGGATAAGACTGACATCCCTGCACTCCTTGTCACTTTTGTAGCCTATACCCTAGGACTGCAGTGACTTGTTTTTTCTGGGTCATTATTATTATTACTTTACTGCAGGTCACTATTGGGGTTAACAGTACCCTTGGAAGCACATATTTTTGCTCTCAGTGACAATGGAGAGCTCAGTTGTCTGGAATGATCAGAGTCAGGTAATGATTGTGTAGATAAGGCATGGTAGGTCTTCAGGGTTCAGAAATGACACCAGCCAGTTTAGGAGTCAGATTTTCTTTCAGGAGTACTTTTTTCTGGATCTCTCTGACATGAGAATCCTATCTTTCCGGTTCTGGCTCTGGTTTTCCTATTTCTTCCTGGTCTGCAGAAATTGATCTTCTGTTCCTCATGTTCTGACTGCCTGCTGGTTGCAGAAGGAATAGTTGTTTTAGAGCAGTGTTCTGAATCTAGGGTTCAAATACCCCTCCTGGTTTGGCATGAAAATATAAAAAACTTCTGTATAGGCATATATGTAACAGAGGCAAAAATGTAGTGTATAGTTGCTCACAGTCATGATCTCCCCTTTTAGGAGAATTCTGTATTTGCCTTATGAGCTCAGAGTCCAAGATTGGGCTCATTATGGATAATGAGTGAATATTGCAAAAGACAAAACCTTAGGAAGTTAGAATTGTTTACAAGGGAAAGATGAGAAGAAAATCAGGGAAGAAAAGAACAGGTGGAGAAGCTCTGAAACGCGAAAGAGACTGTGGGAGAGACACCTTGTGAAGGCATTAGATGGGCCAGAATGGCCAAAGAGAGGCCCAAGTTTTTGTGGTTGGATTTGGCAAGTGGATAGTTTGCAGATCATTTGGGTTCATGAAATGTAATCAACACCTTGACACCTCTTTGAAAGATTTCAGTTAGGATTGCATTTATTTTTAGCCATTTAAAAAAGGACTCAATTAATTGAGTTTTTCTCTGATTTTGAGATCATGTCAACCCTCTAGTAGGGGAGGGGACAGGGATATGGTAAAGGCTATCTAGAGGACCTGTAAGTATTGTATGTGTTCTATGCCTATGTAACATTCCATTTCACTGCTTCAGGGTGTTTCTGCTCAATGTCAGGGATATGGGTCTTGAGAGACAGAGAAGGGTGAGCCAGGAGGCAGCAAGGAGATCTGGGAACTAAATGTGTGAGGAGCCCATTTAGACAGTCTTACAGTTTCCCCAGTGATTTATTTGCAAACTTTGAGGATCACTACAAATAATGAGGAATAATGAGATTATTTTATTTTATTTTGATGTTTTTAAGTGCCATGGAATCAGTTCTGACTCAGGTTTTCTGAGGAGCTGCTGGTGGGTTTGAACTGCCAACCTTGTGTTTGGCAGTCCAGTGCTTATCCTATAGTGCCCTTTTTGGGCTGAATTGAAATCTCAAGTATTTTAATATATAACTTGCATATCCTTTGTTTTGCATGGACTAACACCACCATCACACTAGAATTAGGATTTTCATAAGATAGGTTTATAGTGTGTACTGAACAAATGTCTGATAACTATTATTTATAAAATTATGTTTCAGAGTTTGGAATCTGACGGCTTTTTGCCTGTGAATGACTCCAGCCAGGCAAAGCTTAGTTCCATCTTGTGCCCAGGTTTAAGTGTTCAGATGCCAATTTTTCTTGAGTTCCTCATGAACTCCGACTGCCAAATTGCCAAAGTAAAAAGCAGTATATTTGAAAAGTCAGTTTTGGGCCATGTTCTCTGGACAGTGCAAGAAGAACAGGAAATCCTTATCAAGGGCTTTAATGACTGCAGGGTCACCTGGAAATCTCAGACACAGCCTGTAATCTTTCCTAATTACAATCATTGCCTCCCTGCGTCTGCAGGTCAGGTATGCATCTGGGATGCCTTGCTGCTGTCAGTCAGTCCTTGTTGTGGTAAGAGATTCTTTTGTTCTCCATGCCTTGTAACAGATCATCATGTTGAAGTAGAACTTCATCATGGCATCATATTGATAGTTTCCCTCACCTGGGTGATCTATATTTGTTTTGTCTTATTTTACTTCTGGTTAAGATTTAATAAAGGGTCTCTATAATATTTATAGAGTCCTGCTGTGGTACTGTGGGTTAATGTGCTGGACTGCAAGGTCATTTGAACCACAAAATTGGCAGTTCAAGCTCACCAGCCACTCCTTGGAAACCCTATACAGGGTCGCTATGAGTCAGAATCTACTCAACAGCACTTAACAACAACAAAAACAACAATAATATTTATATGGAGTCCTGGTGTGGTGCTATAGGTTAAGCACTGAACTGCTAATCACAAAGTTGGTTGTTCAAACCCACTATCTGGTCCTTGGAAACCTTATACAGGTTGGTATAAGTCAAAACCAACTTGATGGCATTTAACAATAATAACAAGATAATATTCATATATTTGAAGATAGGGTTTCTTCTACCCCTAAATGATTGGAAAGCTAATTTATAACTTAAAGGTTTGCTATGAAATGAAGTAGTAAGTGTATTAAGATCCATAGCAAAGTACTTGATGCATTGTTATTGTTGAATGCCATCAAGTTGGTTCCAACCTATAGTGACCATGTATAGGGCTTCTGAGGAGCTGCAGGTGAGTATGAATTGTTTTTTAAATTATTTATTTATTTATTTTTTTGAGTTTGAATTGTTTACCTTGTGGTTTACAGCCCATTGCATATCCTATAGCACACACCAGAACTCCTGAAATGAAGTAATGAGTATATTAAAATCCATAGCAAAGTACTTGATGCATTAGAGTCTCAAAATTAAATGTCAGTTCTCTTTTCTCCTCCTCTTTCTTGTTTCTTCTCCCTTCTTCCCCTTCTTCTTCTGTGGTAATTTTAGCAATTATGACATAGAAAATTATAGTTAGCTATCTACTAAAAATCTTTGGAAACACAAACAGAACATAAGCTCATATTGCTCTAAGGGGTTATGTGGATCAGTCTGACCATTGTATGTGACCTTGCTTCCATCAAACTAATCAACAAATACAGACATGCCAGTATAGGTGAATGAACTTGTAAGGTGGGAACGGTGATCACACAATTACATACTATATGTGCAAGAAATATGGTGTTTACTTATTTTTATAAATAATCACCATCCCTTGGCTGTGAGTTTGTTGTACTGTGTTGGCTTGCATGACTCAAAATGAGAAAAAAACAGCTATAAACATCCGTTAATAATCAGAATATGCAATGCACAGAGTATGAACCTAGGAAATTGGAAGTCATAAAAAATGAAATGAAATGCATAAAGATTGATATTCTAGACATTAGTGAGCTGAATCAGCCAGTATTGGCCATTTTGGTCTCTTTTCAGTTATATTATTTTTTTCTTGTTGATACCTGTTTTTCATTATTTTTTTCCTTAATTATATTCTGTTTTTGCTATTGTTTGCTGGTTTGTTTGTTCGGTTTTGTTTTCCTGTGTATTTTCTCCTCTTGCCCTACCCAGAGGGAGACAGCAAACATGCCCATACAGCTCAGCCACAACCATACTCTTTGAAGCTCCACCCACTGGACAAGAGTCAATACCAGCTCCTATACCACCGGATCAATGATAGACATCAGTCAATGCCAGCCAAACTCACCCTAAATTGAGCTGTGCAAATGACAAGCAGAAGCCAGTGCACACATTTCCCTTCTCTTATCACACCCACCAGGAGACAGTTGGAGAGACTCTAATAATACAACAATATACACTCATCATTTTACTACAAATGCAATGACACCATCATGTCTATAAGACAATAGAATATTTGAACTCACATGAAGAAACAAGGGAGTGGCTCAAACAAATGACCAAGATGCAGAGGCAGATAACATTTTTGAGGAAGAAAAGGCAGTGGAACTGCCTGAGAAAGAATTCAAAAGAATGATATCTAGCATACCTTCAATGGAATGACAGAAAGATCAGGAAAAGCAGGGAGAACACAGAAAAAACTTTAGAAGAATGTGGGAAAAAACACAACAAATGGACAAAATAAATGCATATTTTGAAATAATGCAAAATTTGCAAATAGAAATCCAGAAGATTAATACTAAGATCTCAGAAAGGGATAATCCATCAAAAGGACAAAGGAGTACATTTAAATTAAGGGAAGCCTGAATTAGTGACTTGTGAGATAAATCTTTCAATACTAGTAAGCTAGAAGAACAATCTGAAAAAAGAATGCATAAATCAGATGAAAGCCTGAGATTTATGTGGAACACCAGGAAGAGGACTAACTTATGGGAATTATGAAAGAATTTCCAAACAGGAAGAGGTGATTAAAAGGACAGGCAATATTGTTGAAGAGTTGCAGAAAGAAAACTTACCTAACATCGTGAAAGATAAGGATATAACAATTCAAAGATGAACAAAGTTGGAAGTCTCTCTCACTCCTTGATTTCAAAATTTACTACATGGCTACAGTGGTCAAAACAGCCTGGTACTGGTACAATGAATGATACATTGATCGACGGAACAAAATCGGTAATTCAGAAATTAACTCATCCATATAATTACCAAAGTACAATGAATGGGGAAGACATAGCCTCTTCAACAGATGGTGTTGGCAGAACTGGAAATCGATATGCAAAAGATTGAAACAAGACCTTCATGCCATATACAAAAGCCAATTTAGCATAGATTAAAGATCTAAATGTGAATCCCAGACTTATAAAGGTCATCACCGAAAATATAGGGACAAATTTAAGGGCTCTAATATGGGGCACACACAGACTACCAAAATTTACAAAAATTACACAAACAAAAAAAGACAAAATAGATAATTGGGATATTCTAAAAATTAGAAACTTATGTGCATCAATGGATTTCACCAAAAGATTAAAAGGGAGCCCACAGAATGGGAAAAAAAAATCTTTTGCAATGATATATCAAACAAGGGACTAATTTCTAAAACCTGTAGGAAACTATGACACCTCTACAAGAAAAAAACAAATAACCCAATTTAAAAATGGACACAGGACATGAGCAAACACTTCACCAAGGAAGAGATTTGAGCAGCCAACAAACATATGAAGAAATGTTCATTATCATTAACCATTGTTGTTGTTGTGAAGTGCCGTAGAGTTGATTCCGACCCATAGAGACCCTGTATAGGGTTTCCAAGGAGCAGTTGGTGAGCTTGAACCACCGACTTTGCAGTTCAAATAACTTTGCAATCTGACGCATTAGCCCACAGCGCCAGACCAGGACTCTTCGTTAACCATTAGAGAGATGCAAATCAAAACAATAATGGGATATCATCTCACACCAGCAATAACAGTGAAGTTCAAAAAACAGAGGATAATAAATGCTGGTGAGGATGTGGAGTGACTGGGAACCTCCTACATTGCTGGTAGGAATACAAAATGGTCCTTCCAATCTGGAAAACAGTATGGTGCTTCCTCAGAAAATTGGAAACAGAAATACCATATGATCCAGCAATTCCTCTACTTGGTATATATTCACAAGAAACAAGAGCCATAACATGAGTAGATATATGCATACTATGTTCATAGCAGCACATTCATAATATAAAAAAGATGGAGACAGCCTAAGTGTCCATCAATGGAAGAATGGATAAACAAACTTTGGTACACACACACAATGGAATATTATGCTACCTTGAAGAATAACTAGTAAGTTGCAAGCCACCAACAGGGATGAACCTTGAGGACATTATACTGAGTGAAATTAGTCAGTCACAAGTGGACAAATACTGCATAAGACCATAATTGTAAAAGCTTAAGAAAAGATACCCATACTTAAAAGGAAAACCAAAAAAAAATTCTTTGTTACTAGTGGGAGTGTGGTGGGGGAGTTTGGGGGGCGTGAAGGAGGGGATGATAAATCACTAGAGCACAGGTTAGGGGGCAGACACATCATACTTCAGGTGTTGGGGAGGGCAATAAGAAAGAAGGGGGAAGGGGTGGAAAAACAAGGTAGATAGGAGACAGGTTTGCATGGCCTAAGTGGGACAGAGGTAAATAGTGATGAATGCTCAACCTTGGAACAATAGGGTTCTGTGATACAAGGATCTAGTCATAGTTTGAAGAGGGGAAATAATGCTAAGATGCTTGGCTCTCTTATGAATATTGGTTTCCCTTGCCTACTATTGTAAAATAGACACTTGAGTGGGATAGAAAGGAATGTCAGGAAACATGATTACAGAAAGTTTGTAAGCCCATCTGCAGCCTATAACTGATTGGAATACCTAAAAGGGGTTCTAGAAATAGGCCTCTTGCGGAGCCTTTGCAGTATATAGGACCTTAGGTGGAATCCTGAGTCCCATCCAAAACTTTCTGAGGTGGGACATTCCCATTAGAGAGGACAAATAGATCAGCTTGGAATGGCTAGAGCTGATACATCTTCAAAGAAGATCATCAGGAAAAACCCCAAACAAAAATGGCAGTGTGATTGGCTACTGCAAGAACAAACAAGTTGTTCACCT